GGTATCTATGTAGCTGGCTCACTTGGAGTCATGGTATCTATGTAGCTGCCTCACTCGGATACATGATATCAATGTAGCTGCCTCACTCGGAGACACGGTATCTATGTAGATGCCTCACTCGGAGACATGATATCATTGTAGATGCCTCACTCGGAGACATGATATCAATGTAGCTGCCTCACTCGGAGACATGATATCTATGTAGCTGCCTCACTCGGGGACATGATATCTTGTAGCTGCCTCATTCGGAGACATGGTATCTATGTAGCTACCTCATTCGGAGACATGTTATATATGTAGCTGCCTCACTCGGAGACATGGTATCTATGCAGTGGCGTAACGTTGCCTGATGGCGCCCCCCCCCTCTGTTGGCACCCCCCTTAAAATTGAACAAATGTTGTGATTTTAGAGGGTACGCCGGTTAAATCTCTAAAAAATGTGTTTCTTTAGACAAGTTTTTCAAAATTGTCCCACATTCAAACGACGATTTTGCGCCCCCCTAAGATGGCGCCCCCCCCCCCCCCCCGAACAGCGGGGTCAGCGGGGCCCTTCGTTACGCCACGGTATTTATGTAGCTGCCTCACTCGGAAACACGGTATTTATGTAGCTACCTCACTCGGAGACATGGTATCTATGTAGCTGCCTCACTCGGAAACACGGTATCTATGTAGCTGCCTCACTCAGAACCATAATACCTATATAGCTGCCTCACTCGGAGATATGATATCTATGTAGCTGCCTCACTCGGAGACATGGTATCTATGTAGCTGCCTCACTCGGAGACATGGTATCTATGTAGCTGCCTCACTCGGAGACATGGTATCTATGTAGCTGCCTCACTCGGAGACATGATATCTATGTAGCTGCCTCATTCGGAGACATGATATCTTGTAGCTGCCTCATTCGAAGACATGGTATCTATGTAGCTGCCTTATTCGGAGACATGGTATCAATGTAGCTGCCTCGCTCGGAGACATGATATCTATATAACTGCCTCACTCAGGGACATGATATTTGTATTATAGCTGGCATATTGTCTCCATACCATCTTAAGCTGGGGTCCCTTTACCCTCATATCCATTATATATCTCCAAATACTATTTGAAACAATGTTTAAACGAATGTTCTCTTTATCCAAAGATCCAGCAACGTATTCTAAAAGGTAATTAGCTGCATTTAACGGAAACGTACCCCTTTAAACTACTACCACTAGTTACCATTCCTGTCTTCATGTTTTAATACGATTCTGCAAACTCTCCAAAAGCCAAAATCGTATCGGTTCTAAGTTACATTTGTGGTTTGGTTGCTCTTACTCTCTTAGGCTCAGCAGTTAGCAGTTGTATCACTATATGAGATACCATGGCACGAGTGCCACCCGACATAAGGTTATAAACCAAAGGTTTATTTGTCTCACTATATTTCAGTGGGGCAACCACTAACCAGGTAACCAGTTAACCAGGTAACCAGGTAACCAGGTAACCAGGTAACCAGGTAACCAGGTAACCAGGTAACCAGGTAACCAGGTAACCAGGTAACCAGGTAACCAGGTAACCAGGTAACCAGGTAACCAGGTAACCAGGTAACCAGGTAACCAGGTAACCAGGTAACCAGGTAACTTGAACAATTGTCGCATGGTTGGCTGACACTCAGACGCATTTTAGGCACAGTCTGACGCACAAAGTCTGTTAAAGTGTTAAGACACGGTCAACACACTGGGACCCTCCACTATAAAGTGCTTTGTTCCTATTTGTTTCACATCACCCCTTGTTAAACTTCACCTTTATAAGTATAACAGCAAACATGGTGAGCTCTTTACTGCAAGCGCAAGCGCTCTGGTTAGAGCAGGCTCACAATCAGGCTCACAATCAGTAAGATTAACACTCATTATCAGTGAATCTCACCCTCGTTATCTCCTTATAACCACACAACCCCGGAGCTGTGCTGGTAGTTACTTGTGCTATCCAGTAAATTACAATCTGACGTCTTTACAGACCCTCGGGTACCCAATCTCAGACAATTATTTGAACTAGTTCCCATGATCCCAGACCCACTATTTGCAATAAATAGGTTTGCAAATATTCCCATCCCCTCGCTTCATATCTACTTGCTTCCGGAACCTAATCGCTAATTACTTTTGCCATCCAACAAGATGACAACTTGGTATTCCTGCTGTCCCAGCGCGTACACAATCTAAAACCAATAGCCGGGCGTTTTTAACCATGGTCCCGGGTCCAATGCCAATGTATTGGTTGCTGGAGTACCCAGCGGCTTGTTCCAATGCATTCATTGGTCAGCTGCACAGTTCCCTTAAGAGCTATATAAGGGAGCAGCAGTAAAGATGGGTTAGTTGGGGACTGCAGTTGTTAACCATGTGTAACCGCTAACATCCTGATCTTCTCTCCCCTGCCCCCCTTTTTATTGCAGTTGTGGTTCTATAGCCTATCTTTAATGTTTGTCGGAAATTGGGTATTTACTGCTGCACGCGGGGACATAAACAAATCTATATACTTATATACAGTGCACGGTTCACACTATATAGTGCATACTGACATTTTGTACCCTATGTTAATCAGCCATTGTTATGTTTTTGAGGCTCTTTCATATTGTGAGTAAGTTTTTTCGTTTGATTTTCTATAAAGCTTCAAATGCTCATTTGCAAACCTTAAATGCCCCCAGACAGGCATATTTGTTATTCCATATAAACAAGGAAATCCTTCACCTCTGTTTCACTGTTGCGTTTCCAAGTATATACAGTAATTACGGTACAGCGTATATTTAGTGGAAATTTAACATAGAATTTGGGGGAAATTTAATTGTATAGCGTAAATTTCCGTCTCTTTGGTCTGGGCGGACAAAATTATTAAATTTAATGAAGTGAATTTCAAAAGATTCCAAGAATCTCGTTGTTATTTTGGCATTGTGTATGTCTGTTATAGCTGCAGCCAGGGGGAAGAACTAAGCAACCTCCTTTTGCCACACAATCACAAAGATCATACTTCTAGCATACTTCTTGCCCATTCTTTTCATATCTCTCATTTTCCTCTCTTCACTCTTTTCTTCTTTCGTACTTTCGACTTGTCTAGCGTGAAACCAGCAGACATTGGACAAAAGCCATTTCAAATATTCCCACTCTCTTTTGTCACCCGATTTTAAGCACGATATATTCCGTCTGTTTGTTTGTTGTGTGGTACAACGCACGTGCAATTCAACGATACTGTCAGCCGTTCCGTAGATCATTATGCAGCGTCATCAATTAACGGTAAACCATACAACAAAGAGCTGAGTGGTGTTGTAGTAGTTGACGACTACAGACCGGATCACAAGTAATTCTCACTATTCAACTCCCTGCGAGCTCGTTAGTAATTAAAACTATTTAGATTATTTATACGAAATTAGTCCTGCATGCTCAACGGGTAGGGACAAGAATTATTTTGGTATCCGGTGGAATAAATAATAATATTATTGTTGATTTGGAGGGCGAAGGCGTGGTTGCCGTAAACCACGCATGGTGAAGTATAGGTATAAAGCTATAAATAGTAGGTCACCTCGTTCTACCTAACTAAAAAGGAGGGACTTTATTCCTCCCTTATGAAGGTTAGGATTTAGTTTACCGATCTGTCCTAATCACAGCTGACACTTTAGCGTTCCTTTATGACTCATCTCCCCTCCTAACACCATCCTCCACTATTCACTTTAACTTCTCTGGCAACCTCCACCAGGGTTGCCATACCCCAGAGGCAGGCAGAGCATCCCCATGCTATCCTCTTCATCCAGGCCCAGACTCTTAAAAAAAAGATTTAGTTCACCTCGGTCCTAATCACAGACCTCATATTGACTTAAGTGGCGCAAGATTTGCTAGCCAAATATTCGTGATAGCAGGCACGCTGCTATACTGCAGGTAAACAGGACAATAACTCCTAATTAGTTTCCCATTAATAGCTTAAATTAACTAACGTTATTGGGATATAAGCGAGCAGTTTTACTGCAGTACTGGTGGTTCCCCAGTTCCTTATTACAGGAGAATTTAGTGATAATAGTGTTGTCTGGTAGTAAGATTACAACAACTAAATGCAAGTTGTAGTGCAATTAGTGGACTACACTAATTCTGTTGCACCCAGCTCTTTCTTAATTTCACGCTCCAGCACGCGCTGTAGAGCGTGATGTCTAGCCTAGCTCATAAGCGTGGCTCCCCCCAGCCAGCTCCCCCCAGCCAGCTCACTCCCCCGGCCAGCTCCCCCGGCCAGCTCCCTCCCCCACTGTCTTCACTTTCTTGGTCTCCGGATTTGCCGACTTGTTATAATCTATATCAAGACGCCTAAGGCAAAATCTATAGAGCAACAGTAGCGTTACGTCTAACACCGCCATCTATAATGTTCCTCTCACAAAAGCACCGGCGACGCAAATAGCTGAACTTTACAGACTGAAGTCTCTTTAGTTACTGGGCGGCGCTCAGCCTGTCATTCCGCCATATCTTCATATGTTTATGAATACAAATGCCTGAGGTCCCCAGGTTACTCTTCAGTTGTCCTATTCGTCCTAGGAGATTTGCCGCGCCCCGTTATGATAAATACGCTCAATAAATAGGGTTATTAATTGGGATGGTGAGACAATGTCCTGTTATCATGATATTATTGTTGGTATCAGCTCAATTGTTCGTAATTTATTGTACGGCCAGTAATGATATTGATGGTTGTTTAGACACCAAATTCATTAATTTGGGTATGAGTACGAGTACTTGAGTACTCGAAGCTGTCCTCAGTGCGTAGTGAGAGCTTGATTAGTTGTTGGAGCTCTCCTATCTGAGCGTCAAAAGTTTGGTGGCTGACTTTTGATTGTTGGTCAGATGCTGCCTTCTTTGAATGAATTGTTTTTACAAGTACCAACATCCCCAGCTGAGCTCGTGATTATAACCAGCTTCTGTTTTAAAAGTGGCAAAAATGTTAATTAAAAACATTGTTCAATAATCTCTGTGACTAACATTTCTCTAACCTGCATAGCAAAAGACAAAAAGTTTTAACAAACAATAAAGACAGAGGAAGATGAAGTGTTTTGTAGTTATGGTTACCCTGCTCGTTCTCTCACAGTCAGCTTCTCTCAACTCCAGAGGTTAGTTACGTTTAAACTTTCGGTAACTACTAGTAACCATGGTTACTTAGTGGTTACTTAGTGGTTACTTATTGGTTACTTAGTGGTTACTTAGTGGTCCAATATTAACAAATTTAATCGGGAAAATTTAATTGCCAAAAATTTCTGAATCGATTCCACAAGTACACAATGACGAACGTCTCCAGCCGATATCAAACGCGAGTTGTTCATCACTGATATGAATATTGCCTCCTAGTCCTAATCTCCCAATAACTTTAATCTACTTCAGAGTCAATGGACGAAACGATAATGGAAAATGTTGAACAAGAGGTTGAAGCTGGAGAGGTTGCAGAGGAAGAGGCACGAGTTTACAAGGGATATAACGGTGGTAAGTCAACTGTCATCCTTATTACTTTATTAGTACATATTGAGTTTTTTTCTTTCTTAAACTGCGTGCAGTCTTTTCAAGATTTTTTTTTGCCTAAAATATTCCGGCGCGATAAAGTTCTCGCATTTCGCTAATTTTAGCTGGAAAGTTTAAAAGTTTCTTTTTGTAATCCCGAATCAGTTTGACATCATTAAGTATGAACTGTTAAATTATACGTAGAACATACTTTATACAAGTTGGATTTAACTTGGCTTTTTTCAGGAAACCGTGTCTGGTACGGATAGAGAATAAGATGGCCGGTGTCAAAACCCTTCACCATGACATTGTCATGGTGATATCACCCGTCATCACGAGAACAATTTGATGACAAAACTTGGTCCTTGCTTCCAACCCAACGCCACTGCTTTGAACGAGCGAGGAAATTTCTTTTTTTGATCTTGACTTCGAACAGTTTTAATTCTAGTTTATCAATTTGAGATGATTTCCTTAACAATTCAAGGACAGTGTCATAGCTAAGCTTGGACAAAGACGGTTTTTAAAATTTTTAATGTGTTTAATCGTTGACCTTAAGGTAAAAGTCGTAACCTTTTTTTCGTGCAGGGCGTTCATCTTAAACACGATTAATACAATTTATCAAGTTTCATACAAGATGCAAGAGTATCGTTTCTTTTTTTCGAGATGTAAGCTAATTTGAAGTTATCAATTTTGCAGCATGTATCTGCAAGTGTGGAAAATTGATTCAAGCTAAATACCAGTATTGAGAAGTCGACCTGTAAATGTGACAAGTTTTTTCTTCTTCATGTTTGGTAAAAATGAATTTTCATCAGTACTAAATTATAAAAATGGAAAAGAAAGTAAAAATTACAGCCATAATGTTGACAATTTATGTTGGAATAATTTATAAAATGTAATATTAAGAAAGTAAACCGAATACTTGAAGTGTTGCCAATAAAATACTAATTATTAATTAAAATGATATGATACGAGTGCCTACGTGGTGAAACTAAAAATTTCAGCAGAAATTTAAGAAGTAATTAATAGAACAGAATAAAATAAAAGCCTTTAAATTGTAGCTTATACTCTTATAATAGTTGACATGACCTGCAGTCCTACGGTATTATTCCTTGTATTCCACGCATTCCCCTCGAAACGAAACGAAACGAAACACAGTACTTACTACCCCACTTCTATGCGACAAAGATGTTAAATAAAATATAACTATATATATAAACAAAAGCTCTAAGAAACAGATAGTGAACAAAGTAAACATTTCTGTCCCCTAATCTTTCTCACACAAAAGTCATGCGATTTGCATACTTCTCCATTTAACTCTATTTTGAGCGATTAAAGTTAAATAGTTTAAATCACATAAATTATTTAACGATAATTTTCGAACACTAAGGTCGTGTAGAATCAGTGAGAAAAGGTTTGACTGCGGTCTTCCACGCCGCCCTTGGAGCTGTAAGGTGTTAACAGCAAAAACAAGCGACGAATAGGCTGGACCATCTGTAGGCCCACGCAGTACATGTCCGAGCATCCTCCAACGACTACGAGCCACTTTAGCTGACAATGGTTCGCTATTGCAGCGTTTATACAAGTTCTTGTTGGAAATGATGTGAGGGTATTTGTAATTCAAAATTGATCGCAGATGACGTCTGTGAGCAATATCTAGTTTTTCCAATACTGATTTAGGGGCAGCCCAGCAAGATGAATTGTACATTAAAACGGATACTACCAGAGCCTCATACAACAGAAGCCTCTTGCTCAGAGGGATCTTATGGTTCCAAGCTTTCTTGTATTTGTTAAACGCGGCATATCCCAGACATATCCTTCTAGAGATGTCCTCCTTACTACAAAGCATGGAGCCAAGCGTGATACTCTTTCTCCAGAGCTCGTTCCCTGCAATTGGCTTACCCTGATCGTCTTTAGCTCCCTTTTCAGCTAAGTACACATGAGTGAAATCAGTTTTGTCTTCGTTAACGAAGAGATTCCAATCTTTAAGGACTTCTGTTGCAATAGGCAACAGCTCCCTCAAATTGTCTTCATCTTCATCATTGAAGTCGATATCATCAGCATACTCACTGTCAAGTGGAAGACCAATATCGGTGATAGGTGGGTTAGGCCTATTCATTGCAGTTTCAAGCCTGTTACGGAGGTCACGCAAGGCACCCGCTAAGACAAGTGTGAACAAACATCCAGACAGACAGTCACCTTGGAATGCACCGAGAAAACTCTGGAATTCAGCAGACAGTGTACCGTTGATGTTGACTTTGAGCTTGGTGTTGGAAAGCAAAAGTCTTACCAAACGGACTTCGTCATCATCACAGCCACACTCAACAAGAAGATCGAGGATGGTAGATCGTCGTATAGTGTCAAAGGCACTAGACATATCGATCCCCATACGATGGTATTCCCACCTCTTCCTCTGGACAACTGATAACATCACACGCTGGCACCATACAATGTCAGCACATGATCTACCCTGCTTGTAAGCACATTGCCATGGACCAGTGAAGGCATTGACTTTATTCTCAATTCTCTTCAAGGTTGCCATTGAAAGAATCTTTCTAACAGCATTTGAGAGAGTGAGGGGTCGTAGATTCTTCACTGGACCAATGGGCTTATTTGGCTTCTGTAAGGGGGTAATGTTTGCCTGTCCAATGGGGTCAAGGTAGGAATTGGTCTCGAAGCTTCTATTGATAATGTCTGCAAAACGTCTGTGTACTGATCCAGTAGAATACTTGAGAAGCTCGTTAGGAATTTCATCTGGGCCGTTAGCTCGACCATTTTTGAGACTTCTGGCAGCTGATCCGATTTCTTCACTAGTGAATGGCTTAACTAGTGGGCGAGGAGGTCCTACAAAAGGTTCTAAAGGTGCTTCATCACGAGTAAGTTGTTGCTCAAGGTACTTAGCAACTACGGCAGCTTTACCAGTGTCTGTTGCAATATTGCACCCTTTCTCATCATGAACACCAATACTAGAAGGGGCTTTAGGTAAGTTCAGGGTTCGAACAGCTTCAAACATTTTCTTACTATCTGTTGTTGAACTGATGGTATTACAGATAGCATCAGCAGCAGCTGATCGTATGTTAGAAAGTCTCTGCTTGATCTGATTGGTGAGGCAGTTAATAGATGATCTAAGTGAGGTTCTGTCTAAAGACTGGTTATCATTAAGCTGCTGTCTCAACAAGTAACGCTGGCTAGATAAGTTTTTCACCTCATCATCGTCGCTGCGATTACGTTTCCTGTGTCTGATGACACCAATTGACGATTTTGCAGCATCCTTTATGGACTCAAGTAAGCCATTCAAGTCTGAATTTGGATCCAGAGCAGAAACAGTGTTACTTAAGTTATCATCTAAGGATTGACGATATTTCACCTGAATGGTGGGGTTCGAGGTGAGTTCAGAGGTGTTGAACTTTAAGGATGACTTGGAGTGGCGTTTATAGCAAAGACAGATGTCCTTAAAGTCTACTCTAGTGACAACAAATCTGTGATCAGAGTATGTCAAAGTGCCTGCATAAGATCTAGAATCTTGTAGCATTGGCTTCGGCCTACTCCGACACAGGATGAAATCGATCTGAGAATAGACCGGGATCGTCTTTTTACTATTTCGCCCGGCACTCCAGTCCTTCCTCCAGCCAGTGTAGGTGGTCGTATGTCGAGCAGGATGATAAAAACCAGTGTTGGAGGCAAAGAGGTCAAATTCTGATAACAAGTCTAACAAGTTTTCCCCCATATCGTTGCGCAAACCCATACCATGTTTACCCATGAAACGACCAAAACCAAAGTCCTTATCTGAAGTAGTCATTTTTCCCAAATTTGAATTAAAATCCCCCAAAACAAATATCTCAACATTAGCAGGGACGTTTAGAGCGTCCCTAACTTGGCCGTAGAAATTAATCAACAGTTGTTGATCATTTTCTGCAAGTTTCTTGTGTGGCCCATATACATTGACCACCCTACATTTGATAAATTTTCTTGATTTTGTAGGGAGTTCTAGGTCCAAAAGGCTTACTCTATCACTGATACTGTTCCAGCATACCACATAGTCAATAAATCGGGGACTGATAACAAAACCGAGTCCATAGTGCCGGCCATTTTTCTGCTCAAACAATAAGAGTTTGTATCCGTTGCTAAGACTGCAAGAATCCGGTTTTACAACCTTAGTCTCCTGAATAGCGCAGATATCTATGCCGTACCGTACACAATCGGTACCCAGTTGCTCCCGTTTGCTGTGGATGTCGTCTGGATCATCACAAGAACCGAGGCCACGTATGTTAAAGGTGGCGAAGCTGATGAGGAGTGTAGCAAACAGGGATCGTCCTGTAGCTGAGGTAAACATTACGGAGGGCGATGTTGTCGTCTCTCCGCCGCTGGCGTTACCCATACGGTCCATCTAAATATAACTAAATAATTTAAACAACACGGTGCCCATGTCTAAGCGCGCGGCTCTCCTCGAAGATACTTTCTCCGTCATCGGAGCAGAAAGTTAAAACAAACACCTGCTTTACATGCAACCAAAAAGAAGTGTAGATATTCCACCAGTTATATTACCGCTTAGGAGCATGGCTGTTGCACCTACCAGTATAAACTTCGAGAAGCATCATTGTACCCCAGCGGTATATTGCTTCAGTACCGGTAATCCTTACTGCTTTACTGTGCATTCCTATATATTTGGATAATCTCCAAACTTAAAAATAATGCGCAAAATGTTTCTTATCATTGCTACAGATAACATGCTACTATTATAATAATAGGGTCTCATATCTCAAGTTGTCATTGCTACAGATAACTTGCTACTATAGGGTCCCATTTCTTAAGTTATCATTGCTACAGATAGCTTGCCCCTAGCAATAATCTGTTACCCGACTTTTGTGCCAAAATCGATCACAGCTGCTGGTCAGCTCTAGCACCGCGGAGATCTGTACTTGGTCCTGTATCTGCCTTACATTATTTTATAGGTAAACATCGTACTAATTTCTGTTAAACAGAGGCAATTATAACTACCCAATATCACACGCCTGTTCACTTATAATTACAGGAAGGCTTTCTAAGTTATAATTGTTATTGTAAAATTGTCTGCTACCCTGAGTAACTAGTACTTAAGTATTAAAGCTATAACTTACAATTTCTCCTCCAGATCCAGTCTTGACCTTAAATTGGACATAACTCAGTAGCTGAACTAGCTCTGATAGTCCGATTAGAACATGTAACACCATGGCCTCCAGCTCGCCATTTTTGTGATTCAAGCAAATCGAGGATTTCCAAAAGTTCAAAAAGGGTGCAGGATGTTCAGTTCGGCAAAATATCGATGGAAAATATTTCGTAGGCCCTAAATTGATCACTCCTCCAGATCCAGTCTTAACCTTGGATTTGACATAACTCACTATAGCTGAAGTAGCTCTGATACGTCAGAACAAAACCTGTAAGATTGGCCTTTAGCTCGCCATTTTCGAGATTCAAGTTAATCGAGGATGTTCAAAGCTTATTAAGATGAGAAGATGATTAAACATCAGCAATTATTAATTATTGCAAATCTTCCAGATTTCAAAAAGGAAAATCGCATGCAGTAGTTTGCTTTTTTAAAAACAATTTTAAACCAATTTGAAATCAATTTTAAAGCAATTTTAAACCGTTTTTAACAAATTGTAAACAAATTTTAAATCAATATTAATCATGGAGGTGTTCACTTTTCATGCCACGTGATATTTTTACCGGACAATGACATTTCGTAAATGGACACAATTTTGAACGGACAATAAAATGAATGCTATAAGGGCCTCAAGCGTCCGATTAATCCGTTCAAACTTCAAATAAAGTCCGATAAGGTACATATGCAAGTTATATTGAGTGATCTTAACAAGCGGACGGCTATGCTTCGTTCCTGATTTTTGTCAGTTCTCAGTCATAGTTATCACTCATTCATGCATGTTCCTTTAATTTTTATCAACATTGTGAAAATATGGACTAGTACATTTCAACTAACAAGTTCGTCATGATAAGTCAGATAGAAATAATTGTATAATTATAAAACAATTCACTTCAAGTGCATGGTCTCGTCCAATGTGAGATTGTCCCATTTGTTAATCGTAACACTAACACATTACAGCAGCAAAACATTGCTTAGTTTTAAAAATCGACTATCACAAAATAGTGCTTGTCAAGCTGTTCGTGCATTTGCAGTCGTTTTGTGAGCTTTGATTTGAGTTTTATCGTTAAGATTTCGATGGAGAACGGTAGCGAGGAAAAAGAAAATCTTCAGAAACCCTTTGTTAATAGGTTTGAAGCATATATTTGATTTGATTTGATTTGAAACTTTTACAAAATAGCAAGTATACAAATGTACAGCAATTCGAACAAACATATAAAATGGGCCGAAATGTATAAATGCTAAAAAGCGTGGGTCAGTGAAACAAGTACAGAGGACAACTTTCAGAACAGGAGTTTTTTGGCCGCCCAAAGTCTCAATAACATCACCTCCACCTAGTAATAAAATTATGAAACGTGAAAAGTGTGAAACAATCAAATAATAATGTATTTATATAATATAATTGTCTCTCAAATACAGATAACGTCCGTAAACTCTTAAAATACCCCTACAAGTACATATTATACTGATTGGTGTCCGAGAAACATGAATTACGTCATCATGGTGCCTTCTTAACCCGGCTACAGACCTTCCCGTTACGGATGTAGTGGTCGAGATGAGTCTGTTCAGCCCTCTTCTTCTTCAGGTCAGTTACCACGTTCTTCCTTGCTGCACGCTCTTCACTGGATCTATCAGGACAGATCCATACATCTTTGTGTGCATCAGCCATCCTCAGTCTCCCTGTTTTCATCAGAATCTGATGAACTGCTGTTGAGCTTGGGACGGTGATCTTGACTGGTCGGATAGCCGTGATACCTGGCCTCTTCCAGCCGACTCTAGTCGCTTCAAAATGAGGTTTCTCCCCGATCTCCTCCAATAGTGCGGTTACCAGAGCTGGAAGCTGTTCTTCATCATCTTCTTTCAGTCCAAACACTATCAGATTCTTGCTCCTGTCCTCCTCTGCAGCCACACTCTTTATTACATTCTTCAGAATTTTACTGTTGCAGACGGCGCCATTTATGCTGTTCTTTTGTACAGCGGCACTGTAGCTCTTAATCCCTGTCTCCACCGTTGTTTGTACTGTCTCTTCAACTGACGTCTTAAACAACTGTAGTTGTTCGTCCTTCTGCACTAGCAACTGGTCCTGCAACCTGACCATCTTTTCCTTGTCTGCTAGTGCTTCCGTCTTGAGGCACTCAACGATTTCCATCATAGCGCTCATCTGACTACTCTGCCGTCGTACGAGGTCTGCTGCTTGCATAACCCAGTTTGCCATATACCTTTTATAGATAGACGGAGACATGAGTATTTCTTGGTCCATATCTCCACGAATTTCGAAGTTTTCTAGTTTCAGTTCTCTTGCCATCGAAGTGAACCATCTATCAGCACAGCCCTCTACATCTTCCTTTTCTTCATAGTTGAAATCCTTGAGTTTCTTCTGAGATCGGGTCAACTGTAAATCATCCTCCGTGATGTACATTGTATAGTAATGTACAAGTATACACACGCAAAGGCTTACTACGCGGTAGCAGCAAACTGAACTTATCGCAAAGTTACAAAAGATAAGGGAGCTCGATAATTGCAACGTAAGCTACACACACTACACACGAATGGTGTAAAAATGTATATATTAAAATATATTTAAAATATATGTTTTAATTTAAAAATAAACTTGGTGTTACTAGGACAATTGATAAATTAACTGTTTTAACCATTTTTAACTTTTCCAACTTGATACATGCATGGAACATCGTCGATTTGTCAAAAAATTTGAATCGAAAAAGCTGTAAATCCCATAGACAGTATTTAAGGGAGAAGCGAGAGTTTCCAGCGGCTAAGTTAGGCCATACTTCTTCAGTTTCACTTTGCAATACTCAAATATACAAATATCTAATTAAATATTTGAAAATAAGTGCTCATCATTATTTTGTGAATTAGACTATTAGAGTTTTTCTTAATTAATTTTAATTTATTTGAGTACTAATCATAATTTATTATGTACTGATGATGAAAAAAATATTTTACTTATGCTACAAAGAAGTTTATTGGAAGTTTAACAATTATTACTCATTCGTAGTCTGATCGCAGAAAATATTGAATAATTACCACTCATTACAGTGAAGTGTTACTAACATTAAAACCCCACTCATTACAGTGAAGTGTTACTAACATTAAAACCCCACTCATTACAGTGAAGTGTTACTAACGTTAAAACCCTACTACGGTCTCATACCAGTGGACCACCCGGACACTTTATCTCCTTATCCCTGCTTACAGTGCAGACGGCGCTGCAACACTATTGAGGAACTTGAATTGTGAGTTTGTTTTATTACATTATGAATTATCTAAAACTATAATTCGAAAGATTCTATTTGTTTGTTTGTCTTTCTTAAACTTGAATCATAGGTTTATTTTGTTACATTATTGATAATTGTATTATATAATTGCTGAACGATTACTGTGTAATATACATTTACGTTTGCACATTGACTTGTGGCCCACCCTGTATTAAAACTTTAAAAGGCGAATTATAGGGATTGTCGTGGAGAATGTTTGACGAATATAAAACGTTTGGGCTTATAACATTTATATATATTACACAGTAATCGTTCAACAATTATATAGTAAATTATCTTTATTATGATATTATCATATAATTCATGTAATCATTAATTTTACTGTGAAACTTTTCAGACACCGACGCTGGCATCGCCGAGAGTATGAGTGTTCTATTTGTGATAAAACCTTCACAACTTTTGAGATCTTCAAGTCTCACGTTAGAAAACATTATGTTGATGCAACAAAGGTGACTATAATGATTATAGGTCAACAATTATTCCAATAATTACTACCCTGATCCACTGTCAATGTCATGGCCTATTTTGCTGTTTTCTGACAAAAGTCTTAATCAGACCACAAAAATTCGAGGTTTTTTGTCAGAAAACGCTAAAACGGCAAAATTGTATCATCTCAAAATCATTAGCGTGATGATTATACGCTGATAAAGGAGTTAATTGAGATTATATTTCTCTTCATCTCTTTTCTAGGTAGATACTTTAAATCCGATCAAACTTATCTAAATCCCGTTATTTAACCACAGGATTTTAGCGTGAACAACAAAATTAGAGAGACACCAGTGACGTGTAAATATTGTGAAGAGAAGTTCAGTACACTCCGTGATCTGCACCAGCATACTAGTCTCTACTCTGGTTTATATGAACATTATCTAATTATCTAGAAATTATTTGGTTATTATTAAGAAATTATCTAGAAATAATTATCTAGAAATTATCTAGAAATTATCTGGAAATTATCTAGAAATTATCTAAAACTCAGTATCCATACGTTAGCCTTAATAGTTCAGTCACAAGTCACAAGTCACAAGTCACTGAGTGCCCAATTGAAATTATTCTTTTTGGTTTGGCTTACTACCACCACTAGTTCACCCTGATTTTTTGTGAAACTTGGTTTCGAGATAGCAGTTGAGCAACAAACTAGGACCAGTGACCGAACTTTCGAGGGGGTCCCGGACCCCAACCGCCAAACGGTGCCCGCGGGGCAGCCACGCCTATATTTGATCAAAATTAGGCCCAATTTAGCCAAATACCCTGAACATGCCCAAGAACCAGATTTCAGGTGCTCTACTTGTAGCTAGTGGTCCCAGCCTTGAACTCGTATATGAATTTTCATCAAGATTGGACAAAAAATGACTGAGTTATAAGCCAAAAACCATATGACCATATTTGGGCATACGCACCAAATTTGATTGATTTTGGCCCATAAATTGGTCAAATATCAATATTTTTGAATGAAACTATGGAAGGTAAGCCTATACTACACATTCTCTATGATTATCAGCGCAGTATCTACCTAACTGCGGATTCTGTGTTCAAATAATCGTAAAAAATGAACAAAATCGCCCATATCTCAGTTCGCGATATTTGCGAACTGATTTCGCTCAAAACAATAGAACTCAATAGGGTTTTAATATTAAAGGCCTAACTCAAAATTCCAATACAAAACTTAAGGTCGAAATTCGATTCTACGTTGATTCTGAAAATTTCATGTAAAAATATTAAAACCCTATTGAGTTTTATTGTTTTGATGAAAATTCATATTCGAGTTCAAGGGACCACTATAGCTACAAGTAGTGCACCTGAAATCTGGTTTTTGGGCATGTTCAGGGTATTTGACTAAATTGGGCCTAATTTGGACCAAATATGGGCGTGGCTGCCCTGCGGGCACCGTTTGGCGGTTGGGGCCCGGGACCCCCTCAAAAGTTCGGTCACTGGTACGTCCTAGTTTGTTGGTCAATTGCTATCTCGAAACCAAGTTTCACAAAAAAATCAGGGTGAACTCCCCCCCCCCCCCCCCCCCCCCCCTAATCCGTTTTGCCTCATGTTTTCAGATCAGATGCAACATTTAATAATCTACCGTATCTGAAAAAAAAATTAGGCGTTCAGTATGTTTAACGAGAAAAATGTAGATTTTTTAATATTGAATGGGCATGGTCCAAAATATCCGAATTTTCATATTTTAGGGACGGAATCCTTGAACATTATGGTACAGTATGCCATCTGCAAAGCAACAACTCTCAAATATAAAACACGGCCACGGCAGTGGTGAGTTAAGACCCAACGTATGGATACTGACTTTTGCCCCCCCCCCCCCCCCCCTGCATATTACTGTATTAGTAAATTTAATCCGCGCTGGCTGACCTCTCATGTAGAAACACTTTTCTGATCAAGTGCAAGTGTCACCATGTTCATTAATTATGGTTATTATGGCTTTAATTATACTTCTTGAATACATTTTTTTAAAACTCTAATTTAAATGTACATTTGTAAGAGCAACGCTGCTTGCAAATCCATTGATCCATTCGCCAATTTATCAACCTCGAATAGATCTTATTTTCAGTTTTAAATAATTTATATCTGTTAGTTAAGCTTCTTGAAGAGATCATGTCTGATCAGTTATCAGTGCGTGGTGTGATATTCTCTGTTATAAAAAGAGACAAGCATAATATGATAGAGAGATTATAGAAAACCACCATCACTTATATAAGCTTTAAAACTCATATAAGCTTTAACTACCAAATGTTACAATATTAAACTCACTCGACATATCATACAAAATCACAGAACTTTTAAAGTATGCATTGTATGATGATATTTGTATAGCTTCAGCCAGATTGTACAAAGCAATGTCGTTGAAGAATAAAACCTTGAAACACTGCGTTTTTAGCTTCAAACTTTGATAAACTGCTTCTTCTAAACTGCTTCTAAACGGTTTCTTCTAAACAGCTTCTAAACGGCTTCTAAACAGTTTCTAAACGGCTTCCAAACGGTTTCTAAACGGTTTCTAAACGGCTTCCAAACGGTTTCTAAACGGTTTCTAAACAATCTTCTTTCTGTGACTCAGACGACTACACGAGGTGTGAGCAGTGTGACCAGTTCCTGCCAGCTTGTCACGTTCACTTGGTCGGAGTGGACGCTCTGGAGGTCGGAGAGGAGATGATGAAGAGGTACAACCTGAACAAACTCAGGGAGGAAACCTATCTGGAAACATCGTGAGTTTGAGGAATTGTTTTGTGTGCAGCCATGCGGGTACATTCTTTTTCCTTAATTAATCAATTTTATAATTATTTTAAGTTTAAAACCAAAATATTCCATTTTTATTGATTGACGATGCTGTTCTCGGAACACTAACCACTGTTCTTCTGTCTCTTGTTGTGTAATTCCAACCCCTTTGTTAATACCTTAGATGTGTGCTGGACGGTATACCTAAGATCCACAGTAGTGTGTCAACCTACAACCATCACGTCAGAAAGGAACCGTCTTATAGGCCCTTCAATGTGACATTTGTAAAACAAGGTGATGTCAGTTCATTTTATACTTTTTATAAGCTGTTTATACAAGGTGATCTCAGTTCATTTTATACTTTTTATAAGCTGTTTATACAAGGTGATCTCAGTTCATTTTATACTTTTTATAAGCTGTTTATACAAGGTGATCTCAGTTCATTTTATACTTTTTATAAGCTGTTTATACAAGGTGATCTCAGTTCATTTTATACTTTTTATAAGCTGTTTATACAAGGTGATCTCAGTTCATTTTATACTTTTTATAAGCTGTTTATACAAGGTGATCTCAGTTCATTTTATACTTTTTATAAGCTGTTTATACAAGGTGATCTCAGTTCATTTTATACTTTTTATAAGCTGTTTATACAAGGTGATCTCAGTTCATTTTATACTTTTTATAAGCTGTTTATACAAGGTGATCTCAGTTCATTTTATACTTTTTATAAGCTGTTTATACAAGGTGATCTCAGTTCATTTTATACTTTTTATAAGCTGTTTATACAAGGTGATCTCAGTTCATTTTATACTTTTTATAAGCTGTTTATACAAGGTGATCTCAGTTCATTTTATACTTTTTATAAGCTGTTTATACAAGGTGATCTCAGTTCATTTTATACTTTTTATAAGCTGTTTATACAAGGTGATCTCAGTTCATTTTATACTTTTTATAAGCTGTTTATACAAGGTTTGTTCCTTTGGTAATTAATGTGAAGTACTCGTTATTACAGATTAGTGAAGATATATAATGAGTTTTGAGATGAGCTTATAGTTAGCCAAACTCAACTTTTTGCAAGCAGAGCTTATAAAAAAAGCAAGTTTACTGTAAATATTTCAGGATCGGGGACAGAAAATCGCTGGAACAACATCTGAACAATCATTTCACGGAACACAATCTCCTGTACGACTCCTCCGCATCTTTCCCAAGCAAAAACAGGGTTACAATTCGAGAAAACGGAGCTGATTCTCATTCGTACAATCTTATATCGTGATAATATGTGGAACCAAGATATGCAAATTGCAGATGAATGATCCAATGATCAATTGTCAAACTGTCAAACAAATACGCTTACCCAAAAATATTTGGATTTTTCTTTTGATTTTATGTATTTATGTTTGAAGAAACCTGCACTGTGCGGCTGCAAGATTGTTGAGCTTTTTTGGAAGATTTATGCATGACCTATGATTTGGTTTAATACTAGATTCCGATATTGTAAAAGTGCACTTTTGTATGATTGTGTTACACTACGTTACTTACTTACTTAGTATCGCGAAATAGTTGAATGTAAAATGATATACCTTATCGGATTTTATTTGAACGGACATTAATTGGATGCTGGAAGCCCTAGCGTTAATTTTAATGTACTCCGTTCAAATAAGGTCTGACAAGGAACCTAGTTAAATTAAATACATTTGAAAAATGCCTTGGAGTGTTCATTTTAATATCCCTTCAAAATTATGTCCGTTCATGCAATGTCTGGTCGAATAACGTCCGATAATGTATATTTAATTGATCAGACAAAAAATCACAACATTTTATATTTAACATCAGTCAATAATCCTGGTATCATTTAAATTTTCAATCATGATTACGTATGGATAGTCATTGCCTTCAATGAAACGAGTTGATTTCATGAAACAATTATATAATGATAATCAGGTAACCCTACAGTATATCCAATATTTCCAAAGCTAGTTAACCAAAGCAAAGCCATAATACGGACTTCAGCTCATTGAGTAATGGCCCATGAATTCCCCTCCTTGAATTGCCGACCCCTATAATTCTAATTGTAATTCTTAATCAAGTCCACGTCAGCTTTTTTACAAGTTCAGCAAATAAGAAATAAAGTATTTTATTTCGAGGACGAAGCACTACGAGACCGACTTGCGACTATCAAGTATAAAAGATGTAAATTGGATAAGTAAGACGAAGGAAAAAAAAAACTTAGACTGGTTATCAATTTACTCACAGACTGACCTGAGATCTAGCATCTTTTATAAAGGCCCAATGCTCGCTATTTCATAGCATAACACTCGCATTACATGCCCATCCAGTATATTTTCTATCAACATAATATATAAGAATTCGTCAAAAAAAGTACTACTAGACTTGCAAAGTGCTGGCTGCAACGACGAATGGCCACCATTTTTACTCCACAACCTACCTGGATTACGTAAATCACAAAGAACATAGTCAATAATCACTCAAAACCAAACTCATACAGCTCAAATTAAACAATCTGAATCAGGACAACATTTCAAACCACCTGCCATTCTAACAACACATTCCTTATTTCACTGCCACATAGCGCATATCTACACTGATAACACACCTAATTGCGGTGAGGCAGCATCATAAAGTTACCAATATCAAATATGTTTGCAGATCAGGGCTAGTCGACTCGACCAATAAAATTTTAATCGAATAGTTTTAACAGATAACATCACAATTATAATCTGCGTGCCCCTTGGGGATGAATATTTAACTTATTTCAATTATATATTACTTTTGAGTAAACATTGGCTGGTACTACGGACCAGTCCCCCAATCAGGAGGATAAGGAGGTCGAGCCAAACAAAAATCGCACTAAATCGCAAGATTTTCGAAGCCATTGTAGAGACAGGACAGGATCAGGGTCGAAATTTTACATCTCAGCTTATAATTTTATAAAATACAGAATTTTGTTAATGATTAACGAACACTTTTCACATTGAAATTAATTGAATTTGTTATATTTTCCTCCTAGAAGCTCCAGCTGCTAATACAATTAACATGTATGAATACTAATGTCTGAATATTAATGTCTGAATATTAATGTCTGAATACTAATGTTCCATTATATTCGTCTGCTAGCTCAACTTTTAACCAGGACTGCAAAAATTAAGTAGATTGACATAACTTCTCGAGCGCTGATTATATTTTTAGCACAAACGCTGAGCTTAATTTACTGTATAATAATATAATAATAGTATAATAATGAATAATAAATTATAATAAATGATCGTGTTGATGTGAGATTTCTACAAACCCGAGACAAATAGAATTACGGGTATGGGCTGAAGGAAGCACGTGATCACTGATGCTGAGACTGGAGAGGCTGTATATATATCAGCTTGCAAATCAAACCAATCTCACTTCCAAGATTGCGTTTTACTGTTATAGTAAGATAGTACTAGGTCGGAGCCAAGTGCGATTTATGCTAGATAAATTATCCGTATCACATCGCTGTCCAGCATGGCTCATGAGGGCTATCACGTCCTTTTTAGAGTTTGTTCAACTTACCTTCTGTAACATATAAAATAATCTGGACTCGGTTGGCTTGTTGTGCTCTATCCTACCACGTATAATACTATTACTATAATAGCTTCACTTAAGGCAATATATCACTGATTATAGTTATCGTCTCCTATACTTCATATCACCACCTCTAGTATCACTTGTTTGAATCAAATTTATTTGAATATAGTTTTACCAGGATGAAATTTTCTCTGAATATCGTTGTGATTACTACTTTGGCGCTTTTGGCAGCCAAAGCAGTTTCTGAAAAAGGTAGGAAAAGATCCAGATAATGCTTACATATTGAAACTTTGATAATACATTATTGGGAATTAGAGTTTTCAGCGCATATCAAAACGTTACTAACCCAATCTTATCAAGTTGCTTGCTTTTGTCATTAATTATTCATGGCCTTTACTCCTTGAAAAGTCAAATGGCACTTAATTTATCACATGGTTTTTCAATTTTTGGAAATTTCATAATATTCAAAAGCATTCCATTCCAGCTTGGAGAGAAGATAGGAGATGTGGAGAAAACTTCCCCCTCGCTGACGGTACCCCTGCTCAGTGTAATCCTGACAGCGAATATCGAGATACTGATAGATGCTGTACACCGTCTGGGTGGTGCCGCGGCGTCGGTTCATACTGGCACATGCAATGCGATTGTGAAGATTGCATTGACTACAGCAAGGAACTGAACAGTGAGTCTTTCTCAACTATAATTGATAAATAATCCATACAAAAATCCCCTGATCGGTTTCAAATCCCCTCAGTGTTGCTCGATATAATGATATTGTTATACTTATAACTTTTAATATTGATATGTGCCGCTGTCCTTATGTAAAAGTACACATTGTCATTGACTCATCCCTTTACTTGTAATGACCTTCATTATTATAGCTTTAAGCACTTTTTACGGGTTTGAGGTTAACGTTTATCCAGAAATATGTTCTTTATAGCCACACAGTTAATTTCATTTTACTTTCACAGGTAATGGTATAAGTGAGTGGAAGCCTTTTACCTATAGTAATAGATTGGAAATTCCCACCGACAGCTACTCCAGAAAGGTGGAAAGGTACTTCGTCAGGCAACCTTGTGTAGCCGGAGGAGATATGAAAGAGTTTCTTCTTGTCCTCCGAAGTCAGAGTGCGTCAGCGATTGGTAGCAGGGGAATCAATTCGATAGTCAGGCTTTCTACTAAGGTGCGTTTTCCAGCTATGATAAAGTTAATGTGGCTCATGTTATGTGTTTTTCATCCGGTCACTTAGTGTGCAACTTATTATATCGCAATGCCAACTTTACCATTCGTTGTACATCCAAATAATGTCAGTGTAATTTCAAATTTGGCATGGCTGAAATGTAACACTTGATTCTTATTTTATGTACCTATAATAATTAATTGGATTTTCAACAAAAAAATGGCCAAAATATTTTTCAGTTTGGTTAAAATTTAGTGGAATCAGTTGAAATCTGCTTTGTTCTTGGGTACACAAGCGAAACCCATAGCTGTTTTTATCTCTTTATTAAATTTAACGAGCGTGCTAAACTTAGATGAGAAATATGGACCCGTACGTATTAAATACGTAAATTAAACAGCTGGCGACTATATAATAAGTACCACGTACTTTTTGGTACCGAAATTTTATAAAAATTTCATATTACAAAAAATTCAAGTTTTACAAATAAGACTTGAATTTTTTGTAATATGAAATATTGGACGCAATATTTTAAAACTTCTAGTCTTTAGCCAATGAACCAATCAAAACTCGTTATTTTTCAATGTAAATATTTAAGTACTTATACTACTAAACAATCAGGATAAAAATAAAAGTCAACTTATTTCTACTTTAAAAGATTCCTATATCTATTTTCAAACAGTCATGACTCATATTTCAAAATATTTATCTCGTGCATGGTTTTTGGGACAGTACTTTTCAATACAAACTTAAAAATACACATGACACCGTCGAATTGTAAAGTAGGTACGATTAGTCCGTACTTTTCATTTTAGGTGCTAAATCACCTTAATGTAGAGTTATTTATCATTATCCCTTACTCCCTTAGTGATTAGTTAACGAAAACAAAAAATACAACATATCCTCCAGGGAAGAGGGTACATTTGGTGTGTTGATATTCGTGGTGCACATCATAAAGGACTTGATACTTGGTTTGACTTGAATGAAGATGCTATAAAATGTGAACCTGATGGAAGATACATTATCTTTGTGTGAGTTTGGAATGGTGACCTTCAACATTGCTATAGAGTCACAGAAATTAAGATGTTTTTTATGATGTCAGCAAAATCCATTTGATTTTGACGGCTATCAAATAATATATATTTATTGAAGACGTTTTAAATTTTCGGAACGTTTGCATATTATAAATACTACAATTTAGTTGTTAGTTCCTAAATAAATTAAATGTTCCTGTAATAAATCAATAATTATTATTAGAGTGGAGAAAACAGCAGGCAGAGTCACCATCAAGAACGAAAGAAAAGTTTTGTACAGCCTGCACTTTGATACTGAAAAGTACGGAAAATGCAGCGAGGAGACAAACTTTGTCGAACCTCAAGAACCACATGAGACCAAGGGAGAAGGGTTGGCTATTGGTTTCTACTCCCATCCAAGTAAGTTCGCGGACATCCAGTTCCACTATAAGTATAAGTAGATTACTGGGCGGCGCTCAGCCTGTCATTCCGCCGAATCTCTATGTTTATCATTATGAACATGATAGCCTGAGGTCCCCAGGTAATAAATAGAGGGGAGGGGTGTTCTGTAAAACGTTTCAGTTCCTCTCTTATCCAGGAGGTGACCGGGATTCCCGGTACCGGGATTGGCAATTTTGAGCTATCCCGGTCCCGGTCCCGGTCCCGGTCGAATGCTGATTTATTTATTTATGATCCCGGTCCCGGTCCCGGTCCCGGTTAATTCGGGATTCTTGGTCCCGGTCCCGGTCAATCACTCAAATTTGCCGGGATTTTGACCGGGATCTTTTACATAATTTCATTCACTGTGATTTAAGTTTTTGTGAATTTCATCTTTAAACATCCTCTGAGCCAAATACAACAATGTTTACAATTTCTAAACAAGTTTGAGTAATAAATTATGATCATGAATTAACCAGTATTCGACCGGAATTCCCGGTACCGGGAATCCCGGTACCGGGAATCCCGGTACCGGGATTGGTAATTTTGAGCTATCCCGGTCACGGTCCCGGTCCCGGTAAATTGATAATCTCAGCGGATCTCAGTCCCGGTCCCGGTCCCGGTCCCGGTCCCGGTCCTGGTCCCGGTCAAGTCACATTTTGTATCCCGGTCCCGGTCCCGGTTCCGGTCCCGGTCAGGCCTGAAATCATGTCCCGGTCACCTCCTGCTCTTATCATATTATCGTCATTCATGTCAGAATCTTTTTAAATTTCAGGGATTACAAATATGGGCCAGATTCCCTGAAAGTTTTGTAAAATTTCGTCGATTACAGTAATTGATGTGGCGTGCCATTTCCTTTCTTCAACTATTTTCGTCACAAAGTTAGAACACAATGAGCGAAGAGCTGATATACCTCAGGTAAAAGAAAGAAAGTAAAACATAGGTAAAGTTAGCGGGTATGCTATATTCCATAATCGAGGCCCGATTACTGCAAATGAGTTTGCGTACAGCGTTTGACTTTGACCACGCTGACTCCTGGACTTGGCTAGACTCGGGACAACTCAGCTCCTTTTTGGGGATGTCTGAGTGTCTCTGAGAACTGAATGTTGACATCATTTGGGTATCCAGGCATCTGCCATGTAGGATTTTCCATACATGAATGATCATGTACAGTTCTCGTTTTCTGTGAAAACGAGGCTTTTTATAGTTTCTGCCAATAGTCGAGGTGTTGGACGCTGTGGATCCTCGATGTTAATGTGCGCTGAGACCCCCCCCCCCCCTCCCGGCCAGTTTCTGGATATCTGCATTTTTGCAAGGGTTCCATAGGGGGCAGCAGTATTAGCGATAGCTCCTGACAAGAAATTTATAAATGGTCATCACTAGTGTGACTTCATTTCCGCAATTTGAAAAAGTGGATTATCTTCACGACATCAATTTTCGCGATTTTAAATGCAATTTGATAAAAAGAATAAGTTCACGACACATTAAATATTTTGGTATTTTAAATTAATCACCAAAACAATTCTTCGCACAAGTGAATGGTACTTACTTAAAGACCCCAGCGGAGTGATAGGAGGATGTACAATGTACATTGATACTGTTGTCCTGAAGCGATCCCAGCCAAACCTACTCAAAGTACTCGAAGTACTAAGTACTTTAACAATAATGTTTGTTACAGATCCCTCATGCTCGGCTGGAAGTTTCATTAGGGGAAGTGGATGTATGCAATGTAGAAAGAACACTTTCAGTGCTGCTGGAGCTTCTTCATGTTCTGATTGTCCTGAGGACAAGGTCTCAGCTGCCGGATCTACAAAGATTGACGACTGCGTTTATGGTAAGAAAGATACTATCTTCCTTATAAACACATAATGATATAGTGATGCGATGTGAACAACTAATCAATCATTCTTTGAATTCAATTTAAGCAGTGAAATTGTGATAATCATTTTAGATTATCATTTAAATAGCGTTAGGTTCTTTTTACACTGCTAATGGTATTTGTTACAGCTCCCTGCTCGGCTGGAAGCTACATGACGGGAAGTGGATGTAAGCAATGTAGAAAGAACACTTTCAGTGCTGTTGGTGCTTCTTCGTGTTCTGATTGTCCTGAGGACAAGGTCTCAGCTGCCGGTTCTACAAAGTTTGACGACTGCGTTTATGGTAAGAAAGATACTATCTTCCTTATAAACACATAGTGAATAGTGATATAGTGATGCGATGTGAACAATTTAACAATCATTCCTTGAATTCAATTTAAGCAGTGCAATTGTGAGAATCTTTTTAGATTATCATTTAAATAGCGTTAGGTTCTTTTTACACTGCTAATGGTATTTGTTACAGCTCCCTGCTCGGCTGGAAGCTACATGACGGGAAGTGGATGTAAGCAATGTAGAAAGAACACTTTCAGTGCTGTTGGTGCTTCTTCGTGTTCTGATTGTCCTGAGGACAAGGTCTCAGCTGCCGGTTCTACAAAGTTTGACGACTGCGTTTATGGTAAGAAAGATACTATCTTCCTTATAAACACATAGTGAATAGTGATATAGTGATGCGATGTGAACAATTTAACAATCATTCCTTGAATTCAATTTAAGCAGTGCAATTGTGAGAATCTTTTTAGATTATCATTTAAATAGCGTTAGGTTCTTTTTGCACTGCTAATGGTATTTGTTACAGCTCCCTGCTCGGCTGGAAGCTACATGACGGGAAGTGGATGTAAGCAATGTAGAAAGAACACTTTCAAATTTGCTGGAGCTTCTTTCTGTTTTGATTGTCCTGAGGACAAGGTCTCAGCTGCCGGATCTACAAAGATTGACGACTGCGTTTATGGTAAGAAAGATACTATCTTCCTTATAAACACATAGTGATATAGTGATGCGATGTGAACAGCTAATCAATCATTCTTTGAATTCAATTTAAGCAGTGCAATTGTGAGAATCTTTTTAGATTATCATTTAAATAGCGTTAGGTTCTTTTTACACTGCTAATGGTATTTGTTACAGCTCCCTGCTCGGCTGGAAGCTACATGACGGGAAGTGGATGTCAGCAATGTGGAGAGAACACTTTCAGTGCTGCTGGAGTTTCTTCATGTTCTGATTGTCCTGAGGACAAGGTCTCAGCTGCCGGATCTACAAAGATTGACGACTGCATAGGTAAGAAAAATACTATCTTCCTTATAAACCTCACCACTCCGAAGCTACTACTCTACTAACTGTGAGGATTGTTACTGATGGGGAGGGATGGATGAATCAACCCACCCCCAGTATGATAAGGGTTAACAAAGAAGTTCGATAACGAAATTCCGCTATAATGGTGTCAGTCTTCTTGATTACTACCCAAAGGAGAACAGTAAGAACAATCTTATCTAATAAATTTTAGATTAAAAATTGGCGTATAAGATTTACCAAGTACTCAAAAATTACAGCTAGTTCTTTTTGATAAGAAAATTTTGCAGAGTACCTAGCCCCAAGCTGCTTCACAATGGGCTTACGAACATCCGGGACTGTATTAAGAGAAGTTAATTACTCCTCGGAAGAAAACTGCATGAACCTTTGTATAAAAACGGCGGGGTATGTTTCGATCATTTTACATACTTTAACAGTCGAACAAATCTAACTGCTATCTTTCAATGTCTAACTGCATCTTCAGTCTTTATAGTGCACACTATTTGATTTAATTTTGTGTCTGCTGTTTGAATCTCACAATCCAAAGAGAATAACGATCTTTCAATAATTTGTATCATTGATATTAATTGCAGCTGTATGGCAGCGGTTACTAGTCCGTTATCTTGGCGTAAATCCTCATGTTACGCTATCGGAGACTACACTCTGTCCAGGGGCGGAGGTTGGGCCACAGCTGGAAGAAAATGCTTCGACACAACTTCAACCGGCCTTGCTTCTGGTAATAAGGGGGAGGGACAGGGAGAGGGACAGGGAAATCATAACGCACTTTACGCAATTTTCGACTCACGGACCAACTATTATTATTGCACCGCCCTATTACTAAATTAATAACCGTGCATCAGAATTGTGAAAACTTATTTGAATGGTACTCCATGGGTTGTGAGAAGTTATAAATATATTTATTTGAAGGAATTATTTGGACAAAGAAATTAGGCAAATTTCTGAGCCGTTACAGTGCTGGAACCGCCAAGTACAGTACTCTTTTGGTGGCTCAGGACGAATGTCTCAAACGATCTGGTGAGTTCATACTTGCGGTTATATATTATATTAATCATATCGATTAGATAATTTATTAGGCAGAATTTCTCTGGTAAGAGATAACCTTGTCATAAATACAATATTCTCCCACTAGATTGTGGAGGTATAACATACGAATCCTTCTCCAAAAAGTACTCTCTACGAAAAGGAACCGAATTCAAGGATAGTCCCTCCGGCCTCGAAATCTCCTGGATACATGGTGAATATCTTGGAGTTAGTTATATATTGATAAACTAACTCAGCTAAGTTTTGGACATTTAACTTAAAATTTGTGCACAAGTTTACATTAACATAGTCAGTGTAATAAGCGCCAAGCGCGAGCACAGAACTTACTTTTTATCTCCAATTTCGATAAATTTGGTACCAAAAGTTGCCTAAAAATGTGAATGAAATAAATCCACCGTGTAGCAATTTTCACTAAAAGAAAAATGCTACACGGCGCTTGTTCGCCACGCGTGCTTTTTTTTCGCGCAAATTTTTAGTTTTTGGCCTATAACTTTTACAATTTCAGTTATACTCATTATCACATAATTATTATGGCATAATAATCAGCTCATCGAAAGTTGCGTCTTCCTAAGCTCATTAAGATCCTGTAAGAATTATATTTCAAAATATTCAATATTTTAGGAGTTATAGGCAGTTTAACTTTAAGCAATAAATTACCCATTTTTCGTCCTTTGTGCACTCTTGCAATGCACAGGAGGCCCACATACAGCTCGACGTTATCGTGCTACACGGTGAATTTTCATTATTCACAGTTAGAGGCAACTTTTGGTACCAAATTTATCAAAATCAGAGACAACAAATTCTGTGCCAACTCATGGCGCTTACTACATAAACTGACACTTATCTGAAGTTCAATGCATAAGATCCAATTTTACTAGAAATCGAAAGCCCGTAGTTACAGGGAGGAAGGTAATTGTATTCTTTGGTAGTGAGTTTTTATCGCATCAAAAACATCCGTAAGAACTGGACAACGATTCCTTGAATCCAATTTAAGCAGTGTAATTGTGATATTCATTTATAATCATTTAAATAACGTTTAGTTCTTTTGCCAGTGAACAGCTTATTAAGGTTGGATAATTTTTATCCAAACCTAGGATCACTCGCAAGATTTAAGGCAAACGCACTTTAACGCTCTTAAATCACTTTAACGCACGAAAAAAATCATAACGCACTTCACGCACTTTTCGACTCACGAACCAACTATGCTGTCTATCGCGCCCGCCCTATTATAACTAATAATAATAACCGTGCATCAGAATTGTGACAACTTATTTGAATGGTACTCTTGGTTGTGAGAAGTTATAAATATATTTATTTGAAGGAATTATTTGGAGAAAGAAATTTGGAAAATTTCTGAGCCAATACAGTGCTGGAACCGCCAAGTACAGTACTCTTTTGGTGGCTCAGGACGAATGTCTCAAACGATCTGGTGAGTTCATACTTGCGGTTATATATTACATTAATCATATCGATTAGATAATTTATTAGGCAGAATTTCTCTGGTAAGAGTCAACCTTGTCATAAATACAATATTCTCCCACTAGATTGTGGAGGTATAACATACGAATCCTTCTCCAAAAAGTACTCTCTACGAAAAGGAACCGAATTCAAGGATAGTCCCTCCGGCCTCGAAATGTCCTGGATACATGAAGGTGAATATCATAGAGTTAGTTATATATTGATTAACTAACTCAGCTAAGTTTTAGACATTAAACTTAAGATTTGTGCACAAGTTTACAGTTATCTAACCGAAGTTCAATGCTTAAGATCCAATTTTATTTGCTTACTAGAAAGCCCGTAGTCACAGGGATGAAGGTAATAGTATTCTATAGAAGTAAGTTTTGATCGCATCAAAAATATCCGTAAGAACCGAAGATACAGTCGATTTAAATGCTTAAATGTAAAACACTCTAATAGTCTAAACACAACGTAAACTGGAATTAAACTGGAATTAAACTGGAATTAAACTTAAATAGTCAAAGGGAACACTAACGGACCCGTCGTGACAATACATCAATGAAATAAATAAGATAATTATAAGAAAATCATAAATAAGACCCAAAACACGTAAAAAAATTAACTTCACTACAATCTGTACGAAAAAGAAACAAGATCAAATATAATAATTTAACCGGATAAAAGTGAATAATGCACCGATAAGGTAATAAATTATGCAGGAGAGGTTCATAAAATTCACAAAGTTACTCCAAAAGTCAAAAATACACTATCAAGAAAGATTACACACAAACTCAAAGACGGGCGTAAATTATGCAACTGTAACTCCGAATGAAAACAGTTCGAACACTCATTTAAGGGACACTGGGGTAGTTAGAATGTCCTTAAGACAGTGACTCGGAATCATTACCGGATGTGTTAGATCAAGTGGAAGACGATGTTGGTGTCTTTTTCGGATTTCTGATGCGATGACAGCTGCTGAGAAACTTGCCCAGTTCTTCTATGTGGGCTGAATCCATCATGTCTTTGTAGTTCCTTTGAAGTAAAAGCCCTTTGAGGTCATCTGAGAGAGAAGATCGTACTGAGTGGTACATGGGGCACTCAGTAAGGCAGTGTTCCTCGTCTTCAATAATCGTGCCTTCAAAGAAGGGAAGGTATTCGAAGCCGAGAACGTGATCCCTATCGCAGCAGAATCTGCATGCTCTTGGCCATACTCCGGCCTCCTTCGTGTAACGCCCTCGTTCTATCATCAGGTCGTGGCTGCTTGAGCGGATTTTAGCTGTATTCGTTCGGAATTGCCTGCTCTTCAGATTGAGGTACTGCTCTTCTCCAAATTCCTCCTTGATTTGGTTGTAGAACTGCATCTTGGTTTGCGATCCCAGATCCACCCTCCAGTCACTGATAAAGACATCCCTCATGGTGCCATGAGCTGCTTCTGTTTCATAATGAGCCACAGAGCTAAGTTTCTCGTACCAGGAGAGGTTAAGATTTTTCTGTTCCTGAAACGCTTGAGATACTAAAAAATTTACACTGTTCATCTCAGAAGAAGCTCTGGAAAGTCTTCCAAAGTATCTGAGGCATTGTGGCAGAACTGAGAGGGCCCAGGGCATCCTTCCGGTATCCCCGTAACAGAAGTTGTTGTTAGTTTTCTTGTGCACACCCAGTACCCATTTCAGCATTTTGAGGTGTGTTGTCTCAAGACTGTCTTTTGCTGCAACTTTTGATAGGTTGTGTCTTTGGCTGGGTTCACGCGCCATTTCTTTCATGAGGTGAGTCGAGGGTAGCCATATCTGACAGGCGTAAGTTGCTACCGGTTTCACCAGACAGTCAATTAGCTTTAGCATGGTTTTGGTGGTCAGAGCTCTGGTGTCTACCATGCGTTTTATCGAAAAGAATGCTCGAAGCGCCTTCTTCCTAAGTTCGTTCATGGCGCATTTAAAAGATCCATTGAGACTGAGCTGGATACCTAGATAGCAGTAGGACCTTGTTGGAGAGATGTCGAGCTGTCCAAGCTTGAACCCGTACGAGCAGTTTAGCACCCGCGAGCTTGAGTTGAAGACCATTATTTTAGTCTTATCAATGTTGATAGATAGCTCCCATTTGCTTGCAAATTCATTTAGGCAGTCAAGCTCTTTCTGAAGGCTTTGGTGGTCGAGAGCTAAAAGGATGAGATCGTCGGCCCAGAGCAGGTGGTTGACCGGGAAGCCATTAAGTTCAGGGACAGAGAGATCTTCTAGGGCTGCTAGATAGATGGAGAGGTCGTAGATGTATATTTTAAACAATTCAGGAGACATTGGATGCCCTTGCTCTGTTCCAATGGTGACATCAATGGTCTCCGATAGTTTTTGGATCAGTTTGATGCGGGTCACCGAGTTGCTGTACATGTTCTTAAGGCAAGCGAAGAAGTTCCCTCCGATACCAAGGTGATTGAGTTTATACATGAGTGCTTCTCTGCACACCGTATCGAACGCTTTCCGGTAGTCAACAAAACAAGCAAACACTCTCTTTTTGAGCTTTTTCGTGTATTTCTCAATGATTGTGGTAATTGTAAGGATGTGATCCGAGCACTGTGCACCAGCTCTGAAGCCAAGTTGGTGGGGGAAATCGGGGCAGATAACTTTGCGGAAGTCGATAAGTCTTTCAAGGAGAAGAGAAGCAAATAGCTTCCCTAGACAGCTTCCAACAGTTATTGCCCTATAGTTGTCAGGGTTCTGTTTGTCGCCCTTCTTGTGGAGAGGGGTGGTTATCGAACAATTCCATGGGTAAGTCCCCTGTTCCAGGCAGCCGTTGAACAACTTGAGAAGAACTTTCCTTAGGCAAAGTTTGGAGTTCTTGAGCATCTCGTTCGATATTAGGTCCAGTGATACGCTCTTGTTGTTTTTGAGTTTGTTGATCACCTTTTCAAGCTCTTGTAGAGTGAACTCCATGTTAAGATTTTCCACTTCAGTTGGTAGGTCAGGGTGGCTGCTCCCATCATTGCTTGCGTTGTGGGCTTGAAGTTCACGGTGGGATGGATCCTTGCACTTTTGGTTGTAGAGGTCGTTGAAGAATTTGTGAAAAGCAAATAGGTCGTACAGATCGAACGTCTCAGGATCTCTACAGGAGGACGAGAGATCTTTCAGAGCAGACCAGTTGATGTCATTGCCATTGTTTATTTTCTCGTTCAGTTGAAAGAGATATGCGCCTTTTTTAGATCGAACTTGAACCCTGTATTCCTTTTTTCGGAGGTAAAACTTAGCCCGAGTAGGTTCCACTAGCATGGGATCAATGTAGGGGTTGTTCTTTACTCTTTCGATCTTGCAAACTTGACGTTTTGCCTTTCTGCAGTCCCAATCGAACCATTTGTTTTTGTTAGTGTGAAGACGGCCACTTTTTTGGGTAGTGACCTGGCTGGCTAGGTTAATGTAGGTTGTAATCACAGAGTCATTGTATTTTCGAATGTCTTCGGGGCAGGTGATGTCATTTGCTAGGAGCGATTCGACCTTCTGCATGAATTGGGCATCATTCTGGGCCGACTTGAACTTTTCTGATGTACCAAACCCAGTGCTAGTGTCTTTGGTCCACTTGAAGGGCTTCGGCACTGGTGCTAGTTTCCGTTCACGTTCTTTATAGAGGTTGTCATCAAGAAGATTCACCCCATGGTTTGTGGTGAGGGCGGTTGATATCGGTCTGTGGTCTGAGTAAGGTGTGATATCGCCCACATGGAAGAACCTAACCCGATGGTGGATATCTCGTGAGACACAGATGTAATCAACAGTGCTGGCTCCGTGACGTTGAATGCATGTATGGCTACCGAAAATGTCTCCAATAGTCCTTCCATTAAGAATTATCATCCCTGCTGTTTGGAGAAGCTCAATGAACGGTTTGCCATTCGAATTCAAAGTTCGGTCCTGATTGTTTCTTGGTGTCAAGGCTGTTATGAATTGAGGAGGGTCGAGATCGACATGTATATTCCTAGATTCGCAGGGAATAAGAAAATCTTTCAGAGTACCGGTCCGTGCGTTCATATCTCCAAGTATGGCGGCATCTTCTGTGTCGGGAATCCTGGATAGGCACTCCTCAAGTTGTTCGCAGGTAGTGATGTATTCCTCGGTATTCGAACGTATACGTTTTTTATACGAACCGTGTGCTGGCGAGTCGTATACATTGATAAGGTTTAGGTCCTTGTCAAGATTAAAGTATTTGGCTCTTAGCTTGACGATGAGTATGTCGTCACAATCTGGAACGTGGACTCTAACAGCTCCAGCTGCTAGGTGTTTATGAATCGCCGTACATACACCGCCTGAGTTTGTTCCTGTCCTGTTAGCATTGAAGCATTTGAAGTCACGTAAAGAAACTTGCCCTTTAGTTTCTTGCAAGCAGATAACGTCGTGACTGTTAAGGAGCTTCTGAACTTCATCGATTTCAAATTTGATACCTTCAAACTTGTCACGCTGATGGTTGATGTTCCAGCTCATCAGCCTAAGGCAATTGCTTGTGTCCCGGTTTTTACTCATCTTTGAAACGGTTCGAGCTGCGTTTTTGACGAGGATTTCCATCGTGGCTCTGGTGAGGAATGCGCATCGTCTTCTTAAGTCCTTCACGAAGGCTGACGTAGAGCATTTTTTCGCCTCTGTCATTTAGGGTGAATCCAGTGTTGATTGAATAAATGTTCTGGTTGCCGACCAGGTCGTTAGCAAACGTGAATATGCGTGAACGAGCGGTTTCGCTTTGTCTGTGGAACCAGCTAACATTGCTTTTAATTTCGTTGTTAACAGCTTTGATTCGCTCGTTCATTTTCTTGTCATTAGAGGTTGGAATGAAAAGTGAAAAACATATCTGAGCTTTGCAGGTCTCCAGGAGATACTCTGCGAGTTCGTGGATAGCTCCAGATGGGATACATTTCCTCTTCGTAAGGTCGTTGATACCCAGGTGAACGTAAATACAGTCTGGTCGTAGCTTATTCAACTTCTCGTTGAGCTGTTTTCGTTTCTTTGCTAGGTTTTCGAGACTTGATGCCCCGAATTGGTGCACATTGAATTGAGAACTGAAACTACGTGGATTGAACTTGTCAAAGTTACTATCGTGTATGAGAAGTACCGTGTGCCTACGATAGATATGAGAGTTCCTGGTTCCAGTTCCTGTGCCTGGTCCGACTTCCCGAGATTGTGAAGTTGAGGATGGTACATGATTTTCACGCCGATGAGGCATGCGGCTATCATTTAGAGAATTGTCTGGGCGCTCTTCTTGAGCTTGTTCGTTCTGGACAGTTGTCATGCGGCCACCATTTTGAGACCCGTCTCGTCCCCCAACAGTGGGTGAGTTGGTGCGTTTATTGCCTCTGCTGCCGTTCTGTAGCCGCTCACTTTGGCTCGGTTTTCTCTCACGGTGGTTTTTGTTGTTACGTTTGTCTGCTTTTGTAAACGGATTTCCGCTGTTAGCTGCCGATATTGAGGCCCAGGTAGGGGTTCCTGTTGCATTCGGACCATTACTTTGAACGTCCCGGGTAGCAGTGTCAGGTTTGCTTATATGCGTTACAACGGGCTGTACGTCATTTGCAAGGACAATTGCTACATTCTCATGGTTGGTCTCAAGGGCCTCAATTCTTGTCCTGTTAGATGAGCTTACAGTGTCAAGTGACTGAAAAGCGTTGTTGAACTCGTTCCTAAGCGAATCGATTGAGGCGATCGTTTCATTCTTAGCAGAACTTACCGTGCTTCTAAGAGCTTTCTTCAGTTTATCTTGCTCGAGCTCTAGATCTTCAAATCGCCTCTTGGAGGTGCTACTCGCTTTTTCGAACGTTTTGACGCTGTCTGCGACCTCGGCTCTAACTTCCTGTAGTGATTGAATCTCTCTGTTGGCTATGATCTCGAGAGTTCTATTTTGTTCATCAACTGCATCCCTGAGCAAATTGAGGTCAACCCTAAGTTGTCTCACTTTGTTCTCCAACGGGCTAACCTTGCAACGTATAATTACCAAAAAACCGATCAATATGCCGTTCCAACAATCTTTTCACGTGCATGTGCGCACCCCAACCAAGGATGCTAATTACCTATGTAGCGTATCTTATAACTTTATAAACGTACGGCACACGAATACCGTACGTATTTCTCAAAAGTGTTTATATGCGACATGCGTACTTCGTTCAAATCTTTCATTTCGACCATCGATTCATTAAATATGAGCATTTAGCAGTAACACGCTAAAAACGCGAGTTTATAGATATAAATAATATGTTACTGTAGTACAAGACCTCGTGGCTTAGTCGATTGGGGCGTCACTTTTAATCTGCAGCACCCGGGTTCTGGGCCTGCCGAAGTTTTATTTTAACTTTTTGTTGGCAATTATGAGTAGCTAACGAATAACTAATAATACCTCAGTAATATAATCAAACGTATTCCACGTATTTTTTAGAATTTTAACAAACGGCTTATTTTCGACCGGTTTTTCGGCTTACTTAACAACGATGACTCCAAAACTGTTCGTATGCAACTTTTTGCTTTTACCTAACTTCCTATTTATATTTTTCATCTAATTTGCACGTGGGTGGTCGACGGTCGTACATACAAACATAATCTTTCGAATTATATTATAAACTAGAAAGCCCGTGGTCGCAGGGATCAGGAAGCTAATAGTATATTTTGAAAGTTGCAGTTTTTATAGCATCAAAAATATCCTAAACACCCTAAACGTATAACGTAATAATCACAAAATCGATCAAAATTTCGGTACAATAATCATTGCAAGTGCACTTTCCCTCCTCGTTACTATGGTTCCTATACAATGTACACCCTTTGCTTTTATCTGATTTACACATGGGCGGTCGTACAGACAAAAAGAATAAATGTATTAAGCTACAATATGTTGAATTTTTAAGTAATTATAATGAATGTTTTGGTAACATCCTTTACTTCAGAGAATTAGACTAGAAGAATGATGGAAGCAGGTATAATTTGGAGTTTGGACAGCTGTTCGTCGAGAGATGATTACTATATTAGATCTGGATTTCGGGAGGGACATGAACAATTATATTTATATTTAAATCTAATTTCAGTTTGACTCGTGACAGTTATTTTAAGTTTTCATAAGTAAACGCTTATAAGTGAAACTTTATTCAAAAGCTCAAAGTTCGTATCGAATGTTCAAGTTGTTAGTTTGTTATAGCGATTTCAATTACTATTTCAGAAAACCTTGTCTCACTTGTTTTACAATTAGTCTAAAAGCATTCGCATTCATTAGAAAAGTTTACAAAATTTAAAGTTCCCTATTATATACAGTTCCATGTTATACAGGTCACTAAATTTAGCAATATTATGGCTAAACAGTAAACAGTAAACATTAAGACATTATAGTTTTGAAGTCACAAACTGCTGTAATACTACTGTACTGATGTTTACTGTTGACACGCAAAAGAATTTAGTGTTTATATCATTATGCACCCATGCCCACTGCAAAATCAAATGTAAGATGACGTCATGATCTTACTGCTTACACAATACACAGCATGGATATACAGTTACTAAATTATCCAGCATATTCGCTAATTAATCCAGCATATTTGCTAATTAATCCAGCATATTTGCTAATAAACCAGCATATTTGCTAATAAACCAGCATATTCGCCAATTAACCCAGCACATTTGCTAAATAACCCAGCATATTTGCTAATAAACCAGCATTTTTTTAATAAACTCAGCATATTTGCTAAATAACCCAGCATATTCGCTAATTAACCCAGCACAGTTGCTAAATAATCCAACATATTTCTAATTAATTAATCACCATATTTCTAATCAACCATGTATGTTCTTATGATACCGTTATTCATGTGGCCATATGAGGAGATGTATAACCTTATATAGATGTATAACCTTACATACTAAAATAGTCGTATTATATATAAATCGAATGTCTAGTTTGGTAGAAATCGAATGACATGGTAATTGTATAACATGTGTTCGTGCTATTTCGTGTCGTCGGTGTTTGACTTAGAAAGTTAGAAATGGTGACTTTCCTTTCATAATTCATAGCTTTTAAAATATTGCTGCTATCGCGATTAATGCTCTTTTGAGGAATCAGAAGTCTAATTCTGCCTTCCTGACTCCAATTTATTGATAAAACACCAACCTATAAACATGGTCGACATCTTTTAAATTTTAAGTTTAATAAATTTTAAGTCAGGGTATTTGCAAAATATGATTTGCATGGGAAAAATCTCATATCTTTGCACAAATTCTTTAATCTCCTCAGCCGTTATCATATGTCAAATTGAAGCTCCACCAATAGAACTTATCATAATTTAGAAAAGGTGAACCGGGATAAACAAATCAAAATTTTAGTTCACAACTCTTATCAGTAATAATTTGATTCACATCACGAGGCCTGCAGGGAAGTTGCCCTCGTTGGTAAATTACGATAAGAAATTGATAACCTTGTACCTTGCAGAAACCCTTGATACAATTAAGACCGGACAATAATACAATTATTTTCCGTTCCACCTCCACCCAACTCCTTCATCGTTAATTACTTGTTTTGTGCCGTTATAAATACCCACAGAAATTATGATCGAGTGAGGCAATCTCATATTTCTTATTTCACCTTTACACGAAATTAGTTTGAAATTGATCTTGAGATTATTTTGGTTTTATGTTAGTCTAGGTGTCAACGGATTTACCTTTTTTTTACAGACCAAATTACAGGACCTAAGAAATTGCTTAGAAAAACTGACATTTAAATAAGCGGTGCTTAGGTACCACCCATATTACCACCCATATATTGCATCATAATTTCTAAGATCGTTCATAATGAAAATGCAAACTCGTTCGCACATATTTTGCGATTTTGCACACATCATTTAAACTATCAAATAAACGAATTTCCCAGCTCAATTTGAAAAGCAAAATATGGTGCAAACTACAATATTTTGCCCACTAGGCCCTCACAATTTCTCATACTAAAACCTTACAAAGTTATAACCCTAACAAAACCAAAACTTCTCCTAAGTATAACAGAAACAATGAAGCTAACCCTCCTTCTCCTCCTTGGATCACTAGCCGTGCTGACTGTACAAGGAGACACGTGCTCTCCGGGTGACTCCTGGCTGGATGAGTGTAACAAGTCAGTCAACCTACATTTTAATTTTATGCCATTTATTACAGTGAAAATAGGGTGAATCAATTCAATGATCACTATTTAAAAGAGCTTGAAAGCCGTATGCTGGTATGGTTTCATAACTTTTTAAATAACTTTTCAATAACTTTTTAAATAACTTTTTAAATAACTTTTCAAATAACTTTTTAAATAACTTTTTAAATAAATTTTTAAATAACTTTTTAAATAACTTTTTAAATAAATTTTTAGATAACTTTTTAAATAACTTTTTAAATAATTCAGGTGCCGGTGTCTCCGTAACGGGGTTGCTATCTGCACTAAGATGGCCTGTGCTGTCAGTGTAACGTGCGAGCACAAGGGGGTGACTTACTACGCGGGGGACAGCTTCATGGACGAGTGTAACAATTGTAGGTGCACGAAAACAGGGAGGGCTATGTGCACCAGGAGGTTTTGTAGAGGCATGTAGAGTGGAAAAGGAAGACAGTCGTGTATCCTGATGTACATTGTACATTGTACATTGTATATTGAACATTATACATTGTATATTGTACATTGTACATTGTATATTGTACATTGTATATTGTATATTGTACATTGTATATTGTACATTGTATATTGTACATTGTATATTGTACATTGTATATTGTACATTGTATATTGTACATTGTATATTGTACATTATATATTGTACATTGTATATTGTACATTGTATATTTTACATTGTATATTGCATATTGTACATTGTACAATGTGCGATTGACTTTTATGGTTTCTTTATAAAGAACGATAAAAGTATAATTTTTTCATTTATACATCTGTAATATTTTTCGTGTAAAACTGTAAAAGAGTTTTAAAATTTAGTGTGTTTAATGTCTTCAACTTCTAAATTGAAAAAATGAGAGGTACTTTAATTTATCGCTACAGAAACTAAAATAACTCTCAACACAGTTATTCAAGAGCAAAATATATTCTCTCATAGTCATAAGTTAGATGAATGTTAGATATATATACTATGCTAACAGGAACCTGTCTAATCCTGAAATGGTGCACAAAATACACGCCAGCACTAAGTAGTGTGACAGACATATGTTAGTAGAGGCTCTTACGGGCATTGTCTGCTCGATACGCTAGGGACCCCAGACACACCTTTCTAAACGTATTTTTGACCATAGAATCGATTAAAAGTGGTTTCGAGATGATTGGACTGAGTTTACGTCGTGGGTAAAATCGCAAAAAACCGATTTTTGGGCAAAAAATAGGCCAAAAAACCATGTTTTTTGATATTTTGAACAAGTTAATTTTGTTGGCATGTCGGCAAAACTTGCATGGAAATAGCTAAAACACAGCCGCACAAGATGGTTTAAAAATTTTAAGAATCCCTCTGTTTTTACGCGGGTAAAAATCCAAAAAAGTGGTAAATATTTTGACTTTTTTGCTTGAAGTTTGAATAATTTTTGCAGTTGTATGAAATCAACCCAAAAATAGTCACATCGTGTTTGCCTAAATTTTTCCTTTCCGAGAAGTACCCACTTCATATACTTTATCGAAGTTTGAATATTGTCACTCCGCAAGCGTTTTTGCCAAATTTTCGACGCGCACTACGCGCAAAAGCATTTAGTTGTTATCAATTGGCACCCGCGCGTTCATCATAAATTTCAAACAGCTATAACTCAGCGAGATTATGTCCGTTCTAGCTCATATTTTCACACTAAATAGAAAATAATGTGATCTTATTGCTGACAAAATATGAATATAATTACTCTATTTGCCTTAGAGTAATAGACTGTCAAAGTTTAAAACGCGCATTGGTATAGCACGTGACTAATAAGGCCAAATTTATACTTCTTAACATATTATCGATCCTTAGACATCATACTATTGTGTCCAATTAGCGGTTAGGTCTCTAAACTCGTAGCAGAAAACACGTCTTTTTGCCCGTAAGAGCCTCTACTATGTGGACAAGTTCTCACTACCAAGGATCATCGGCTTCATACAAGCAACAAAACTATTCACTAAATGCGGAGAGAACAAAGTTTAACTTTTTTTCTCCACTAATTAATATTTTACTGGGGTAAGCACAGGGCTCCAATGCTCTATCTTAAAGTGGTCACGATCTATCCAATAGTGATAATGACCACAGCCCCTACGAAGAAGAAGAAGAACTTTGAACTGTAGCTAAAATTATATGAAAAATATTTTGACGTAATTATCATCACTTGATGATGACGATGTCATCAAATTAGGCGTTTTTTAACTTGATGCTTGACAAAATAACAACTTTTCGAGTCGATTTTACACAATTAAGTATTTAATTCAAAATTCGAGGTCATGTTGAGGTTAGACTGTTATATAATCTTTTAAGCATTCCGAAAATCTACCGGAAAGTTTTCTGAGCTTGCTCCTTCATTAAGATATTTGCTATTGAAGTGAGTACTTTTTTATAACAATTTTATAATGCTAGTATGGTATTGAGCCATCTCCTGGGCGGTGAAGCTCAGTTCTGCTTACCAGGGGTCTATATTGTGAAATAAGATAGTTCTCACGCCCAGATCGATCAAAAATCGCTATAGAGCTATAATAACTGATAATTTTATAACAATTGTAAATGAAATATTACTTCCTTATTACTTCAGTAGTACTACTTTAGTGGTACTACTACGGTAGTAAATGTGGATGTAGAACAGTAGGTAGTTGTTCAACTGAGTTCAGAAATTAATTATTTTAATCGTTACTGGGGAGAAATGAAATCCAATATTTTAAACTGAGAGTGAGTCCACTTTATACCTCACAAATTTAATCTATCAAAACAAAATGCCAGTATTATACAGCGCAAGGAGCACTGTTCAAATCTCGAAATCTTCTTCAGTTTCGCATTTTATTATTTCAGGATAACAGCCCTTCATTGAACACACAGCAGTTCCGGTTGATGAGCACCTACACTTATTACAGTCCCTCCAGAACGTGTCTCCAGCGTAGTACCTCACCCCGTTATGCATACAGACCGCTACGTCATCATCG